GCGAAGTCTCCTCCTTGATCCAGCTCCCTCTCAAAGGCACGCCTAGACTGCTGGGGAGGAACAAGCTCAAGGCGTTCGCGGACTGCTGCGACCTCGATACGGAAGGCATAAGTAGGGAGGCCGAGGCCCTCTCTTCTGCCTCGACGGCTGATTCTCCTGTGCGCTCGCTCGATCTCAATGAGTAGGACCTGCACAACCTCGTCTGCATTAGGTGGCCTTCAGCCACGTTATCAGGAGCTGTTGCATTGTGTTAGTTGCTTCCGGCATGTCGGGAGTCGCTGTGTCTTTCTTTTTTTGCTGTTCTCTTCGAGTGCTTCTGGCCCTTATGGCCAGGTGTGTGGTCGTGTCGTCTGGTGTGGTGTTAGTTTGTGTTTCGTTTCGGTCTGTAAGCTCCTATCGTTACTTGATGCATGGCATGTTTCTTTCTGCTATCTCTTGCACTCCGTGACCTTCGGGTCCTCTTGGCGGCCGCTCTGCTCTTATGATTATCACTAACTGGAATGTTCGTGGCTTGGGTGATCGTAGCAAGCACTGCCTTGTCAAGGACACAATTGCCTCCTGCAAGCCAAATATTGTTTGTTTGCAAGAAACCAAGCTCAGCGCTGTTGATACTTTTCTGCTCAAGAGGTTATTTCCAGCATCGTTTTGCAACTTCCGCTCACAGTCAGCACAGGGCTCTTGTGGTGGGATTCTTGTTGCCTGGGATTCAACGGTCAATGGAAATGTTATGGCACAGGATGATTTCTCTATGACAATAGCTTTCTCGTCAACAAATGATGACAGCAGTTTCTGTCTGACAGCGGTTTATGCTCCCTGCGAGGCAAATCAGCGGCCGAGTTTCTTCAGCTCACTTGACTACGTATCCACTTTGATTGCTGGTGCTTGGATGCTATTTCAACATGTACCGATATGCTTTCGAGAAGAATAATGACCGTGTCAACTGGTCCTTAATGGAAGTTTTCAATGACTGGATTAATAGTCATGGGCTGATGGATGTCAACATTGTTAACAGGCTGTTCACTTGGTCAAATAAGCGCAGGGATCCAACGCTAGTCAAGCTTGATCGAGTTCTCATCAATACGGATTGGAGTCTGGCCTTCCTGGACACTACAGCTGCTTCCGTTTCGTCGGTCACCTCGGATCATGTGCCTATTTGTATTGACTTTGGCGCCACCCTTCCCACTGCCAAATTCTTCCGATTTGAGAACCATTGGCTGCATATTCCGGAGCTCAAATAGCTTGTGTTGGCCTCTTGGCATGCTGGCCATCGCCAGATTGATTCTGCTGCGTCTAGCCTAAGCTTCAAGTTCAGGCGGCTTCGGGCAAGCATCAGGCAGTGGGCTAAAAACAAAGGAAATCTACAGCTCCTGATTGATAACAACAAGTTGCTGATCGATTTTTTGAATGCTGTTGAGGAACGGCGCAGGCTCACGGATTTAGAGTTTGTACTCCGCTTGCATGCAAATACAAAACTTGAGAAGCTGCTAAAGTGGCGAGCGGATTTTTGGCAGAGGCGGGCCAAGCTTAACTGGTGTAAGTTTGGAGACGAGAACTCGCGTTTTTTTCACCTTGCTGCTAATTGGCATGCCAAAAACAACCGCGTAAAGGTTCTGGTGCACAATGGAGTTGAGCACTTCAGCATTTCTGAGAAGCTGAAGATTGCCACGGCGTTTTTCCAGGATATCTTCAGCTCTCGGCCGCATGATCCGCTCGCGGTTGACCTAACCACAGTTTACTCCCAAGTGGATCTTCTTGATCTCTCTGCCCTAGAGCAACCATTCAGTTGGGAGGAGATCGTCCGCGCCATCAATCTATCACCGAATAACAGAAGCCCCGGGCTGGATGGCTTCACTAATGAGTTCTACAAACAGTTCGCCTCTACTCTCAAGGATGACATTATTACGTTCTTTGATGATTTCTTCCATGGACGAGCTGATCTATCTGGCATCAACTGGGCTCATATTGCTTTACTCCCCAAGACGGAGTCACCCTTGGAAATCACCAACTTCAGACCCATTGCCTTAGTCCACAGTATCATCAAGTTGCTCACTAAAGTTCTTGCTCTGAGATTGCAACACTTCATTTCCCAGTTGATTCACTGCATGCAATCTGGCTTCATCAGGGGGAGAGCCATCATTGAAAACTTTGCGCTAGCTTCTGAGTTGGTACAATGTGCGCAAAAGAGGAAGATACCCATGATGGTACTCAAGTTGGATTTCAAAAAGGCTTTTGATAGTGTCAACTGGAACTGTCTCACGAACCTGATGCAACACAGAGGTTTTGGCACTCGTTGGATTTCTTGGGTCTCCTCCATTCTCAATTCTGGCAAGGCTAAGGTTATGATGAATGGCTGCCTCGGAGATGATATTTTCTTCAATTGTGGAGTTCGCCAGGGTGACCCTCTCTCTCCGTATCTCTTCATTTTGGTTGCTGACATCCTACAACGTATGTGTGTTGCTGCCGCAAACGAGGGAATTCTGGAGTGCCCTATAGACGGACTGAGTTTTTTTCCTGTGCTGCAATACGCGGACGACACGCTTATTCTGCTCAAGGGCACGGCTTCGCAAGCTACACACATTAAGCACATCCTACAGGAGTTCTCAAGCTTTACTGGATTGCAGATTAATTATCACAAGAGCACCTTCATGCCTATACATATGTGTGCAGAGGAGGCACTGGCAGCAGCTTCTGTTTTGGGATGCCCGGTCAGCTCCTTGCCATGCAACTATCTTGGCTTACCGCTCTCTTTGAAGAAAGTCTCGAACTCAGTTTTGATGCCGGTTATCCAGAAGATTGACAGGCGCTTGGCAGGCTGGCTGGCCACATATCTCTCCTGGGGAGGGCGACTCACCATGATCGATGATGTCCTCTCTTCCATTCCAAATTACTATATGGCCTGTATAAAGTGGAACAAGAACAACATAGCAAAAATAGACAAGCTCAGAAGAAATTTCCTCTGGCAGAAGAAGGCGGATAGGCAGCGTGCCGACTGCTTGGTTGCTTGGGATCAAGTAATTTCCAGCAAGCAAAGCGGTGGTTTGGGGATCAGGGACTTAGAGGCTCACAATGATGCGATGCTCTGCAAGTTCACCAGCAGGATACTCCAAAGTTCATCAGTCCCATGCTACCAATGGTTCCAGCAGAGATATTTGCGCAAAAGCTTGCCTGACAAACCTAAGACCACTGACACACACCTATGGAGAGCTCTAGCTAGATACATTCTGATGGTGCAGCATTCTTCTACCTGCAGAGTTGGTGATGGGAAGCTCACGGCTTTCTGGCAGGATAAATGGTGTTGTGCAGGCCGACTCCACCAGCTCTTCCCCACGCTCTTCTCTTTTGCCAAGGATAAACAATGCTCGGTGGCCTCGCAATACCTTGATCAATGGCAGCTGCAGCTTCACCCCAACCTCTCCCGAACTGCTGCCTTGGAACTTCAGACCTTGTGTGAGCTGCTTGCCTCCATACCCACACCCTCTGCAGGACACTATGACTCTCGTATGCATATCTATACTGGTAAACCTGCACTGGCTAGCAACTACTATGCATTGCTTACATTCCGAGGAGTCCGTTGGGCACCAGCAGAAACCATCTGGAATAAAGCTATCCCAATTCGATGGAAAGTTTTCCTATGGCTAGCTCACAGAGGGCGCCTGAACACCAGAACGACAATGCTGCGTAAGCAATGGAACAACATTCAACATCCATTCTGTGACCTATGCCCGGCAGAGGAAACCGTTGATCACATCATTTTGCGATGTGCGCCGGCTCACTACTTATGGCAGAAGCTTGGACTGCTCCAGCAGGCCTGTTCCGCTACTTCCCTCCAGGATTTTGTGCTCACAATGACGGAAGCTACCAGCCATCGGGCGGTTTTGATTGCTGCATGTGCTGCGCAGCTGTGGCTGGTGCGCAACGTTCGTGTTTTCGACAATAAAACCACACCAACAGAAGTTCTTGGGGCAGCTATAGCTGAGATGCTACGCCTTTGGTGCGCCCGCTCGAACGATTCCTCCTTGAGGGCCTTCCTCGAGTGCAAAGCAGAGCTTCTTTCAAACGCTGCATAAGCTACCTCCGATGTATCTCCTCCCTTCTCCCTCCCAATGTAGCTAGCTAGTTGGCTTGGCTCCTTTGTATCATGACAACTCTCAGACCTTGGTCTGGTTTTGGAATATATAAGGTAGAATGTGGTCTGCCTTCTTATCCAAAAAAATGATTATACGTATCCCAGTATGTGTTGAATGATGGCTCCGCAGGGACGCACCATGCATGCAAAGTTGGCAACACGGTCCAACGGTATATATACTCCCTCCGTCCGGAAATATTTATCGGAGAAATGTCTAAAAATAAATGTATCTAGAACTAAAATACATCTAGATACATCCATTTTTCCGACGGGTATTTTCGGACGGAGGGAGTAATTTGTAAGCTTGATCACACATATGATATGTGGTATATATCGTCACTCACGTGTTGCTCGAGGCCTGAACATGGTTGAGCGGGGGTTAAAGTGAGACATGTGATGAAATGACAGATCAGCATATTGCAATTATCGAAGCTGCATTCACGAAAGTTTAATCTTCCATGGAGCCCACAAGGCATGAACACTGGCAGAGTACTGGTAGCACTTTGTAGTACTCTTTAGGCCTTGGCTTGGGGCCAAGTTTGGAGCTCTTCCATTGGAGTTGCTTGATGGAAGAATTATTGAGGAAGCAGTTGAAAACAGGTGCCCATCTAACGGGATTGCCTAACCACCCTGCCGCCAGCTCCATCTCACCATCCGTCCTCCCCTCTCCTCTGCTCTGCTCTCGAAACCACCCTTCTCCTTCCCCGGCCACTCCCTACACGCGCCCCCATCCCATCCCCCTGCTATATAAACCCGCCATGGTCACCTCATCTATCCACCCACAACAATAGACACGGGAAGCAGCTCTCCGGTCTTCGCTCACTAGCAACCGTAGTGCAGCAAAGCAAAGTAGTTTCCTCACATCCATCCATCAATGGCGACCTCCATGGTCTGCCTGGTAGCGCTCTGCCTCGTGTCTCCGCTGCTCCTCGCCGGCGCCGTCCACGGCAACCCGGGCTACGGCGGCCTGTTCCCGCAGTTCTACGACCACTCGTGCCCCAAGGCAAAGGAGATCGTGCACTCCATGGTGGCGCAGGCCGTGGCCAGGGAGACCAGGATGGCCGCCTCCCTCGTCAGGCTGCATTTCCATGACTGCTTCGTCAAGGTACCTCCATACTCTGCTCCCTCTCTGCGGTACCACTGTTGTTTGCAACTTTGCATGCATGCTCTCACAAAGCTAGCTGCGAGGATATACTTGGTGAACATACTCCATGCAAATGCGCTACAGCAAATTATGTTGCCTCGGATTATTTACTCTACGTTCACCACGATAATTAAGATGTGCATTTTATGTGTTACTAGCACTCTTGCCTCTTTGAACACATAACTCAACGTGCAAAATGTTCTATTTGAGCTCTAAAGCTTTTGCTATAATTGCACCTTGGTATCAGGAAAAAGCATCACTACATATGAACTCTAGGAGCATGGAGGAATCTCTAGTTTTCTAGGCTAACTGTTTAACCAGTGATGTGATGAGATAGCCTACCTACATTGCCCATGTGAGCGCTGCTTTTGTGTTTGTCTGGGTGGCATGATCCAGTCAGTACCGTGATTGATTAACCCGAATAACGCTGATATCCATGCAACGTATAGCACGTTAACTCGACGCATGTGCCTCTGCCCTATGTGCTAGTGTTTAGCTATTTTTTCATGTGTGCGCCTAATTAACCACGCCACGTACGTAATCTAAACAAACTTTTCTGGTATCTTGGTGTGATTGCAGGGGTGCGACGCGTCCGTGCTGCTTGACAACAGCACCAACATCATCAGCGAGAAGGGGTCCAACCCCAACAAGAACTCCCTCAGGGGCTTCGAGGTCGTCGACCAGATTAAGGCCGCCCTCGAGGCCGCCTGCCCCGGCACTGTCTCCTGTGCCGACATCCTCGCCCTCGCCGCCCGTGACTCCACTATCCTCGTATGTCACCGTTAAACACCACCAACAACACTTCTATTCCTGGTTCTTAGAGGGTGTTTGTTTCCCGGGACTTATTGGTCTAGAGACTTAAAAAAGTCCCTATAAGTCCCATCTAAACCAAACAGGAGGGACTTATATGGACTTAAAGTGGGCATTTGGGACTTATGAAATAAGACTCTCAAGGAGGGACTTATAGGGACTTATAGTTGTAATATGGTCTTATAGAAACTTATAAGTCCCAAGAACCAAACAGGTAGAAACTTTTTAAGGACTTGGAACTTATTAGTTGAGACTAAAAAAAGTCGTAGAACTTATGAACCAAACAGGGCCTTAATTTGACACGGAAATGAACCTGCATGCATGCAGGTTGGCGGGCCTTTCTGGGACGTGCCGCTCGGGCGGAGGGACTCTCTTGGCGCCAGCATCCAGGGCTCCAACCAAGGCATCCCGGCGCCCAACAACACCCTCCCCACCATCATCACCAAGTTCAAGCGCCTCGGCCTCAACGTCGTGGACGTCGTCGCGCTCTCAGGTGGCCACACCATCGGCCTCTCCCGGTGCACCAGCTTCCGGCAGAGGCTGTACAACCAGTCGGGCAACGGCCTCGCCGACGGCACGCTGGACGTGTCCTTCGCCGCGCAGCTGAGGCAGGGCTGCCCCCGCTCCGGCGGCGACGACAACCTCTTCCCGCTCGACGCCGTCAGCTCCACCAAGTTCGACAACTTCTACTTCAAGAACATCCTCGCCGGCAGGGGACTCCTGAGCTCCGACGAGGTGCTGCTCACCAAGAGCGCCGAGACGGCGGCGCTGGTGAAGGCGTACGCCAACGACGTGCACCTCTTCTTCCAGCACTTTGCGCAGTCCATGGTGAACATGGGCAACATCACGCCGCTCACCGGGTCGCAGGGCGAGATCAGGAAGAACTGCAGGAGACTCAACAACTTCCACTAATTAAGTGGCTGGAAATTAAATGCTTAGCTGCTTGCTTTGTGTGTGCCTTGATTCTCTCTCTCTCTCTCTCTCTCTCTCTCTCTCTCTCTCTCTCTTTGTAATAAGCAAGTGTCGTTGTGTGCTTTGGAATTCCAGATTGTGCTTTGTGATCGCGCTCCAACTTCATAATTGATCATGTATACATCTTGTCTGGATAACAATAATCGATCGGATCTTAACTCGAGGTGCATTCTTTTTACATTGTTGTGTCAGGGAATATGTACCTACCGACTACGGCCGTGTACAGTTGGCCATTCACGTTACCGTCGGAAAACCTAATCAGTACTAGTAATTTTGATGGTGGTGGCAGTGAGCGAGCACCTCGCATGGGTCATGTGGAATCTGGCTCACCGTCCACGTACGGCCGGAACGAGAAAAGCCAAGCATATGTGTCATCATGGTTAGTAGAACAACTACTGCGGCAGGCTAATAATTAGTTCGTTTGTTTGCTGGTTAGGTAGGTAACATGCATGTGGGTCGTAGTACGTGGATGCGCAGCCCGGACGGCCGGCCGGTCTTCCTAGGTCAAGGTAGCAATCAAACAAGGCTAGTGCTCAGGCGCGCGTGTGGGTGGGTGAATCATGGCGTGCCGACCACACACACTGCATCTGCATTGCACATACCCATCCCGTAGCTTTCACAAGAAAGCCCCACCACTTCATTCATATCGACTGATCGGACCCACATGATATAAGCTCGGAGAGGGAGGGAAAGTGGAACTACTACTACTCTTTTGCAACGCAGAAAACATACAGAAGCCACCAAAAAGAGCTCACTCCCGGTCTACCATGCATTTAACAAGCACTAGATAGCCGAGAGCTTATTGCAAGGGTGAGTAATCATGCCTTGTCATGCATCAAAAAAGGAGAGCAACCTAGCTAGCTAACCGGAAGAAAGCACACTTTGTTCGTCTCTACTACTAGAGGTCAATGGCCTGCCCGCCCTTATCTACCGTACAGCAAAAGCAGAAAGGGTAAATAGTGATGTGCGTGCGGAAATGAACATGTAATCATTTGTGTAACAGGCGTGTGCCGGGTCGACCCACCAACATTCTCATCATTGCATTGCACGCACCTCCGGGGCAAAAGGGAACTCACGAACTGGCTTCTACCTTTTCAACTCAACTGGACATCACTGCTCACGCGAAGCAGCATTATTGAACATATTATTATGTAGGCATACACGCATGTATATGATTAGGATAATCTCCTACCGGCCCCGCCTCTAATTTCCTTGTATGGATGAGGCTGAGGGCTTCTCCTTGTACATATATACGTGCGTTAGGCACCCGATCAACATCGAGAGTTGCATTGCCTTCCAACATGGTATCAGTTTCCTTCCCGATCCTTCCCTAGCTTCCGCCTAAGCCCTAACCACGCCGCCGCCGCAGCCGCAATCCTCCCGCGTCGCCGCCGCATCTTGCCCAGCCGCCGCGCGCGCCTCTCCCCTTCCCCTCTCCCCATCCAATCACCACCTCCCCTCTTCCCACCCGATCGCCCCTGCCCCGATCCCCCATCCACCCGAGCTGCCACCAACGAACAGAAGCCGCCGTGCCCGACCCTCCCTCTCCAGCGATGGCTTCTCCCCACTCCTCCGTCTCCATCCCCTCCAATCCCTTCGACGGTCCAGCTCCTCCTCCGATGGAACTCATCCACGATCTTGACATCTTCGCTCGTGTGCCCATCATCCTGGACTACGCCAACTCCACCTACTACGCCTGGAAAACCTATTTCTGCCTTGTCTTCCGCGAGTACCACCTCAATGATCACGTTCATGGCTCCATCGACACCGACCTCATGTTCGCGGATGACGACTGGATGACCATCGACACCACCATCACTCGTTGGTTGTACCAAACCATCTCCAAAGACCTCTTTCACACCATCGTGTGCAACGAGGACGACGCGCAAACGGTGTGGGCGAAGCTAAACGGGCTCTTCACCGACAACGCCCTCCAGTGCCACGTGTTTCTTCAGCAGGAATGTTTTGGCTGCCATCAACATGACTCGTCCATTGACGATTATTGTATGCACCTTAAGAAACTTGTTCACGAGCTTCGCGATCTTGGGGACATGATCTCCGACGAGCTCCTCCTTAGCACGCTCACCGCCGGCCTGAATGAAGAGTTCAGCAACGCGGCCTCCAACCTCATGTTCCTTCCGGACCCGACCTTTCCTAGGGTTGTGGCCTATCTTTGCTTGGAGGAGAGGAGGATGAAGATGGTGAAGTCCCGGGCCACGCACACGGCGCTTGCCGTGGGCACTTCTCACGCAGCCCCTCCCACGGCCCCGCAGCCGCCGCGGTTCCCAACCCACCGGCGGCCTCCTACTTCCCAGCGCCTCAGCCGCCGGCCTACGGCAACCAGCAGCCGCCGCCCCTGGCAACGATCATCGCCGTGGTAAGAAGAAGAAGCAGCAGC